CTTAAGTGGGTGCACTCATAAAAGCCCAGCCATGATAATCAACAGAATAGGAGGTTTTCACTTCTAGAGGTTTGTGAAGTAAAACTGTATTAGAAAACTTAAAACTTCATAAAATCTTTTTTTTTTTTTCTAAAGAAGCCTTAGGATCCAAATGCAATGAGTCACAGTTTCTGTGATAATAAATAATCTCTGGATACTTACTTGCATGTAGTCTTCCATATTCACAGTTTCTCCTCATACCCAAGAGGAAACGAAAAAATTTGCTTAACGTGAACATTGGTGCAGCCATCATCGAACCTCACTTTGCACTGGGGAAAACAAGCACAAAGGGGACACTGCCCAATTTCATTGCGTGAACAAACAAATCCCCAATTTCTGCCAAAGCTGGAGTGGTCCTGAAGAGCCCCACTAGGATTATGACAATATTGCTGACAGATAACATGCATTTTCACACATTAAGTAATAGAAAACTGAGTGCCAAGGGCAGAACAGGATACTCCATGCTGAAGTAGAAATCGGTTGTGTTCAACTACTTGTAGTCCGTGTCACCACCAAAGCCTAATGTTAAACTGACTTTTTTTAAGATGGAGAAACTGGCCGTGCCCATTGTACACTGGCGTTCCTGGGGTGCCCTACTCTGTTGAGCAGACAGTAGTGGGGAAATAAAGCAACAAGCAGCCTAACCTGTCCAGAAGCTTACAGAAGATCCAGCCTGAAGAATAATACTGCAATACTTCCAAAGATGCTTATAAAACACAGTAATTGTTAATACTTCCATGCTTACATCCACTGTTAAACTTGGTCAGATAGAGCTGAATCAGACAAAACTTAAAAAAAAAAAAAAAGAAAAAGGGTTTCAAGTATTCGCAAAATAGATCTTTCACTTAGAGGGAGGATATCCCGGAAGCGCTTCTTTCCTAGAGGCATAACCAGGATAACCTCTAAAACCAGCCAAACACAAAAATAATCCCAGAACATCTCCGGATTCAAGAGCCATGCAACCAAAGCACTAACCCAAACATTAAAATCCATGTTTAAGACCAAGATGACACCTTATCTAGTAATTTGAGGAAACCAATAATGAAGATGATAACCTCTAGTGAAAACATCACATCAGCTTTTTTGCTTGTTTTAAAAAAGTTAACCAGTCATCGGTACCTAAGAGAGGTAGACATTGCTGCCTTCAGTTATATTATTATATTATAGGTGTTCTCACTGCTGCTACATAGCCTGAGGTGATGGTTTACAACAGCTATGCTGAACAGTAAAGCAAGGAAAGATATTTTTTTCCCAAAATCAGAAATATACAATTTCCAAAAATGGGAGCAAAAGACAAAAGGTAATGAAAAATACTGCTGAAGAAAGGTTTAATTAAAAAAATCAGGAATTCAACAGTGCCTAAATCTTTATTTTTCATAACCTACATTTTTTTTTTTTCAAATTAGACAGTTTTACATTTTATGACACAAAAGGAAACTTAAATTACTGATAGTTTACATGTAAGCTTGATTCCAGTCTTAATGGAAGAAGAACAAAAACAAAAACCCTCAAGAAGGCTCCCATATTACACTTCTATTTCGTGAATTGGCAGCTGTTAGGTCTCCTTAGAAATCTTCGATTGTCTGCTGCTATTAGTGTAATAGGTTACAAAGCACATAAAAATCCCCAACGGTAGCTCGCTGAAGGAGATACAGAGATAGGTATGCACCATTACAGTCAGCTGTTGCTCCTGATACACTGCACCACACTCAAACACGGGCCTTTGCTGTGCCAACTGCTGAAGGCTTTGAAGGGTAATGCAGCAACGGAAAAAATTTGCCACTGTTCACAGATTTCTGAGTGGCAAACGACAGTGTCATGGTGGGGAACCGATCTGAAACAACATTAAGCTTTAAAAGCAACCCTTTTTTTTTTTTTTTTTTTAAATTCCTGGAAGAAGAGTCTCAGATCCCATTTTGACTCGTTTTTGAAATGAAAAGCATCACCACACAGTCCTAGAAGGTAAAATGCCAATTTTAATTACTGTATCCCTGAACCTTTAACTCAGCTACTGCTTTTGGGAGGTTTTTCATTTTAAAAGCCACGTTTTAATCTCTCTTTGTATCGTAGCAACAGTCTGCATGCAACTTCACAACTCTACTCCGAAAACTCCATTTTGTCACCAAGTGGAAAAAAAAAATAAATCTCAAAGTAAAACGCAGTAAGGATAAGTTGTCTATTACACAGCTATTTGGCGTGTCACTTTTTTTCTTTTTAAAAAAAAAGCTATAAAAACCACATCAGAGGAAGGTTTAAACTTTCGATGCAACAGACTGTTGCTGGGTAAGCAGTAATTACAGTGTATAGACCTAACACAAATGGCAGCAGAATACATAAGAACAGCACAACACATCCCGCTGGTCTCACGCTATTACCTTAGGTACCAGGTGAGTATTATGACCAGCTGTACACCGTCGCTGTAAGGAACCACTTGTGACCGTTCGCAGGTGGTAAGCCTTTCACTTGCAGCAGACAAACAAAACGAATCATACAGCTGGCCTAAACCATACACAACTCTAGCTACCGTTTTCACTGCCACTGGGGAAAGGAGAAGCAGATTAAAAATCCAATGACAGAACTAGCCGAGCAGTTTTGGTGATGTTGTCAGGGTCCTATCTCTTCCCGCAGCATTCACAAAGTGCGCTTTTTCAACAAGAAAAAAAAAAAAAAAAAAATCAACAGATTCCAGCGTGCCCTGTTTTGACCAGTTCTGCAGCATACAACTGGCTGGCTTTAAAAGGTCAACTAGTTACCAATTGATGCTTCAAATGGGAAATTTATCAGGAGTCAACTTCTATAGTTACTTTACAGTTCTACGAATCATACGGTAAGGAAAGCACTGACAGTTTTGAAAGCAGACAAGTAAGCTTCAGTGTGTATTTTTGTAGCAGTCTATAAAGCTTTTTTCCAATTGAATTTGTTTTTATTAATGACTTAGAATTACAGTTTGACTGCTGAAATTCATTATTTACATTGCAGAACACTTTTGAATTGGTTAAATCGCTTCTTTTTAGAGGGACTTAGGAAAACATTTGAGGGCTTTCAAATAAGACTTTCGTTCCATTTCCCTTTTGCAGTGAAGAGGCAGAGTCAGTTCAGCACACCAGAATAAAATAAGAAAAAGAAAAAACAACAAATTAAAGTAATATTCAAACCACAACATTTAGTTTATCTACATCCAGCTCAACAGCAACATTTATAATATCAATAATTTTTATCAGATTTTTTTCTTTAGGGTACCTTTTTATATGTTCTGATTATTTACAACTGTACAAGCAAAGCACACACTTCCAAGTGCACATATTTAATACAGTATTGACTATTTGCATTTACAGGTTTTTCAACAATCTGAAAAAGATCAACTGTTTAAGATCTTTAAGGTATATTACAAAAACTGCTGCTAGTTCCTGTACTACAGTATGTTTACCCAGTAAGACCAGTGACAATAGATACATACTGTAACTGAGTAATTCTGTATTCCACTCATGCTAACCCTCCACGGGGTCAGACCTCATTAACTCTAAGCTGTCTTGTACAAAAGTTAAGGCAAAGTCATTTTCAAGTTTAAATAAAATTCAAGTCTTTAAATATTGGATGGAAATAATTCTTTAAAAAAAAATCAGTTGTTTAAATAAAC